AGGGAAAGAAACAGACAGCCTGGCACAGGATCTTGCATGATATGTCTGTACCACTTGGGCCTCTAGCAACTTGTTGTTGTGTTAGCCCAGGTAGACCAGAGGATGATTGCAAGAGCATCCTAATGCCTTTAGTTACAAGGGGCCCTACTGTACCCATGCAGCATCATTGACTGTAATATGCCTGCATAGGTGTGATGGATTTGATTCAGTGTGTATATATGTATTGACAGGATTGTGTTGTTAACCTCCCATTTGTCTTCGTCTACCTCAGGACTGACAAAAAAAGGCCATGTTTCCTTCTGTGTAAGCTGTTTGTTTGTTTGTTTTTGCCTTTTTGAAGCTGATTTTGCAGAAACATGATATTTGGAGGAATCAGCATAATTTTGTAGGCTCTTCACTCAAAATTTGCAGCCACTTCTGGTGAGGGGTGTGCATGACACCTCTTACAAATATATCTCTCAAATCATTCAGCACTATGGGGGATGTTAACCTACCTGTGGAAATATGCCAAGACAGCAGTTATGTGTAGTTTGGCAAGTTTGGCTTTTAATAGATCTAAAAGAAGCAAACCCTGCAAAATAATATTACACTCCTCTTCTCTATATAGACTTCTAAACTGCAAAACTCATTACATGAGTGTTACTGTTCATAAGTGTCACTGCACTAGTAGCAATTGAGTTGTTTGCTCAATTCCATTTAGGCCTTTGTTAACTCGAGAAATAAATCGGGAATAGCTGTTCTTGATGAACTGTTCCAGATGAATGATGTTTGTGTGGAGGCCCTTAATCCAGAATGAGTGTTTCCATACCTGGAGTTAACCTGAAATAGAAACCCTGCTTTAAGGTTGCTCACTACCTTATTGTGGAATAAGTTTAACTTGCAAACCTGAAATTCAGGCAGGCCATCCTGGATCAAGTTTGCAGAATGAAGCCCAACTTTATCCAGTTCAAACGGTTGTTTGGGAACTTTTTATTTTTTTTTTTTTTACTGAGTCTAATTTGTGCTAAACTCCTAGGGTTTAGGACTGTCTGAATGTGAATATTTTGAGCCATTTATCTGCCTGAAGTGGGAAACACCCTTTGCTTTGCTCTGTCTTTGCAGCTGGTAAGGTTGTATGTATACAGC